TTCTTTCTTTCTTTCTTTCTTTCTTTCTTTCTTTCTTTCTTTCTTTCCCTCTGCCCTACACTTGCCCCTTCCCTTCTTCTTCCCTGATTATTTTTTTTTTTTGTATTTTTGTATTCATAAATATTTTAATAAAATAAAAAAAGAAACAAGCCAAGCTGAGCTGCTCAGATCTCAGCACGTACCCGCTCAGAGTAAACAGATGGAGTAGAGACTTTATAGGCCGCAGGGACATTCTCCCAACAAAAACTTAAGTAGAATCAGAGGGTTATAAAGAGTACCAAGGATTTCTTACCGCCACACCGTTCACCAACGCTGCATAGAGTGGAGGCAGCTTGAGCGTTGAGCATCCCCAGACAGAACTGGATGAATCCGAGCTGTAAATCTGGGGGAAAAAAAAAATCCCAATCCTGTTTAGGAAGAACTTTTGCACGTGAAACCAAACAACGCCGTCTCTTTATTCTTTTCTAGGCTCGTTCCACCAAGAGCATCAAGCACAACGAATCAGGAGGAAGAACAGAGTTCAAAAGTACTACAAGTTTATCTCATGCTACCTTTACACAAGAATCTGACCTACTAATGGTTAAGGCAAATTGGTGCAAATCAGGGGTGGCATTCAACAGGTTCTGACCCATTCCGGTAGTGGAAATTTTGAGTAGAAAATCAGAGAACCAGCAAATCCCACCTCTGACTGGCCCCTCCCCCATCCATTCTCTGCCTCCCGAGTCCCAGCTGATCGTCTGGGTCTTCTTTTGTTGCCCTGCACAGGAGAACGGAGCTGGAAAGCAGGTTAGTGGGGTGGGGAGGGAATGGAGATTTTGCAGTATCCTTCCCCTGCCACACCCCACCAAGCCATGCCATGCCCACTAAGCCACGCCCACAGAACTGGTAGTAAAAAAAAAATGAATCCCGCCACTGGTGCACAAGCAATGAGCAGATGCTCCAAAATCCAACAGCGTATCCGTCACGTCCGAGACCAGGATGAAGTAAACCAGGATAAAGTTCAAAAAGTACTCCAAGTTTATTCCATGCAATTGATACACAAGAATCTGAACTACTAACGGTCAAGGCGAATTAGCACCGAATAAGAGTCAATGGACTTCAAGGGAAGCTGGACTTAGCTCTCTTACAGCAGCATAGTGATTCCAAACTAATGGTGCACGTGACCCTGCTTTCTGGCTTAGCTTGGTTATCTCCTACAAAGAGGGCAACAGTAAGGATGCAGAAGTCACCTGCATGGATCTTCATTACGGGCAAGTAGATGCTGGCCGAAGGCAGCAGTTTGATAATGGACTCCATGGTTGCTATCATTTTGGGGATGGGTGGCCCTCAGGCAATCTGGAATGGAGTCCTCGGGAAGTAAACCCCACCCACCCCTTGCTGGAGGAAGGGGCTGGAGCAGTACCCCATCTAGCAGATGACCCGAATGTGTTTTACTGCAGGTTTGAAAAGAAACTACAGCCACCTATCTCCACAACCCACATCTCAAAAACACCAACAACAGCCAAGCCTCCTACAACTGGCCCCAATCCACTGGGCTCACAACCTCTGGTGATCACAGAAAAAGAAGTGCAAGAACTATTTCACAGACAAAAGCCAGGAAAAGCACCAGGGCCAGGCAAGATAATTCCTTCTTGCTTAAAAGTCTGTGCTGACCAATTGGCCCCATCTTCACCTGAATCTTCAATAGATCACTAGAGATGTGCTATGTTCCTTCCTGCTTCAAATGCTCTACCATCATCCCAGTGCCAAAGAAGCCCTCCATCAAGGAACTGAATGACTACAGACCAGTTGCTCTAACATCTGTAGTTATGAAAATCTTTGAAAGGCTTGTGCTGTCCCACCTGAAAACCATCATGGATCCACTGTTAGATCCCATGCAGTTTGCATACTGAGCAAATACATTGACAGATGATGCTGTTAATATGGCTCTGCATTACATCCTACAATACCTTGGATCTCCAAATACCTACACAAGGGTCCTCTTTGTAGACTTCAGTTCAGCATTCAATACCATCATTCCAGACATTCTTCTAAGTAAATTAAACCAACTAGCAGTACCTGTACACACTTGTAAGTGGATTATAAGCTTCCTAACAGACAGGAAGCAGCAGGTGAAGCTAGGCAGAATCACATCTGATACCTGTACAATCAGCACAGGGCCCACCTATCTCTTCTTCTCCCTATATACCAATGACTGCATCTCAAACAATCCGTTAAAATACTGAAGTTTGCTGACGACACAACAGTGATTGGTCTCATTCGAGACAACGATGAATCTGCATACAGACAGGAGGTTATATAACTTGCCTCGTGGTGTAACCAGAACAATCTGGAACTGAACACACTCAAAACTGTAGAAATGGTGGTAGACTTTAGAAGAAACCCTCCTATACTACCACCTCTTACAATACTAGACAACACAGTATCAAGAGTAGAGACCTTCAAATTTCTAGGTTCTACTATATCGCATAACCTAAAAAGGACACCTAACATCAAAAACATCATCAAAAAAGCACAACAAAGAATGTTCTTTCTGCGCCAACTCAGAAAGCTCAAACTGTCCAAGGAGCTACTGATCCAGTTCTACAGAGGAATTATTGAGTCTGTCATCTGCACCTCTATAACTGTCTGGTTTGGTTCTGCAACCCAACAGGGCAGACATAGACTTCAATGGATAATTAGGACTGCAGAAAAAACAATTACTAACCCACCTGCCTTCAGTTGAGCACCTGTATACTGCACAGTCAAAAAGAGGGCTGTGAAAATATTTACAGACCCCTAACATCCCATAAACTGTTTCAACTCCTTCCCTCAAAATGATGCTATAGAGCACTACACACCAGAACAACCTGATACGAGGACAATTTTTTCCCAAAAGCTATCACTCTGCTAAACAAATAATTCCCTCAACACTGTTCAACTATTTACAAAATGTACACTACTGTTACTGTTAATCTTCTCACCACTCCTTATCACCCATCCCCTCCCACATGACTGCTTCCTAGTATGATTTGATTGTTGATTGTACCCTATGACTATCATTAAGTGTTGTACGTTATGATTCTTGATTCTTAACTAATGTACCTTTTCTTTATGTATACTGAGAGTATTTACACCAAGACAAATTCCTTGTGTGTCCAATCACACTTGGCCAATAAAGTATTCTATTCTATGCTATGCTATGCTATGCTATTCCATTCCATTCCATTCCATGCCAGCTGAACCAGGAAGAAGAATCCTCAGGTGGAGAATTGATATATCCCTTTAGGTGAATAGGAGTTGGGGGGCTTCAGGAAGAGGCTAATTGTGCTAATCTCCATAGCAGAAAGAAATAGCAATTAAGGATAATCTGCGGCAAAATGCAAGGCTGTTTCCTTAAAATAGGGGTGTGGAACCGTGGCCCTTTGATAACTTCAACTCCCAGAATTCTTGAGCCAGCCATGCTAGCTCAAGAATTCTGGATGTTGAAGTCTGCAGGTCATCAAAGGGCCATAGTTCCCCACCCCCTGCCTTAAAGGGTCATCCAAATTAACTACCTAACCAAAAAGGTCTCAATCGAGATCAAGGGAGGTACTAATACCACTCTATAAAGCCTTAGTAAGACCACACCCAGAGTACTGCATCCAGTTTTGGTCACCACACTATAAAAAAGATGTTGAGACTCTAGAAAAAGTACAGAGAAGAGCAACCAGGGTGATTAGGGGACTGGAGACTAAAACATATGAAGAATGGCTACAGGAACGGCTAGTCTAATGAATGGCTAATCTAATGAAGAGAAGGACCAGGGGAGACATGATAGCAGTCTTCCAATATTTGAGGGGCTGCCACTGAGAGAAGGGGGGATCAAGCTATTTTCCAAGGCACCTGAAGGCCAGACAAGGAATAATGGATGAAACCTGAACAAGGAGAGATTCAATCTAGAAATGAGGAGAATCTTCTGACAGTGAGAACAATCAACCCATAGAACAGAAGTTGCCTTCGGAAGTTGTGGGAGCTTCATCCCTGGAGGCTTTCAAGAAGAGATTGGACTGCCATTTGTCAGAAATGGTCTGTAGGGTCTCCTGCTTGGGTGGAGGGTTGGACTAGATGACCTCCAAGGTCCCTTCCAACTCCGTTAATCTGATTCCAGGTGAGAATTAGACAAGTTCCTCCTACCTTGCTGTACTGGATGAGCTTCTGAAAGACGTCCGTTCTGGTGCCCACCAGCCCGACTCCCAAAGTGTCCAAAATCATCCGTTTGCTCCTCTGAACGACTCGTTCGGTCAAGTGGCTTGGCTTCAGCCCGTGAATCACATTAGCAAAGTTCCCCGTAATATTCTGGCAAAGAGAAACCAAACCGTGATAGCCACGTTTTCTCCAACCCGGCCATTTTCTCCGGATCCTGACCTGTTTGGATTTATCTTTTCAGAAGCAAATCTATGGTCCTCCTGACCTACAACAGTTCATTTAGGGACCGCCCAAAGTTACAGCGGCACCGGAAAAAAAGGGGACTTATGATAGCTTTTCACACTTACGAGCATTGCAGCCTCTCTGTGGCCGTGTGATCAAACTTCAGACCTTTGGCAACTGGCATGTACTTATGACTGTTGTGATGCCCCTTTTGGGATCCCCTTTTTGGGACTTTCTGACAAGCAAAGACGCTGGGGAAGCCAGATTCGCTTAACAACCATGTTACTAACTTAATAACTGCAACGATCTGCTTAACAGGTGCGGCAAGAAAATTCGTAAAATGGGGGAGGGGAATACCTGCTTAACTGTCTCACTTAGCAACGACAATGTTGGGCTCAGTTGTGGTCGTAAGTCAAGAACTACCTGTAATATACCCTGTTAATTTCCTCCTTGCTGGCCAGCCACCCCCATGGAGCAGAAACACAATTTTATCAGAAAATGAATATTTTTTTTTTTAGCTCCAATAACTTCATTTCCGCAGACCCCCTGGCTCTGTCTGACAACACAGAGCAGTGGGACTGAAGGAAGTGCCTTTTTTTTTTTTTTTTTGGTTTAGTTTAGCTTAGTTTATCATCGTTGCACAACAAAATTAAACACCATCTTCAGTCTACGTTATAGACTATGAAAATAAAACACAAATCCACATCCTTCCCGTTCTATACACTAGATGGAAAACCCCCCAAGATTGCATTAATATCGTGCTATACAGTAGAATTCAACAGCGTTACTACCCTGGGAGGGAAGCTGTTTTTCAGCCTATTTGTCCTTGTTTTTTTCTGCCAGGTAGTTAATAGTTCAAAAAAAAAAAAGGATGCTCAAGATGAGATGGATCTTTCAGAACGTTTTGAACTTTCTTAAAGCAGCGGGATTTTGACCCGCCCTCCACTCTTGCCCAGGTTTTGAAGGCTGAGGATGGATAGTCTCTACCTCACCTAGCTTCAAGGGCCTGGTAGCCTTGCCAACAAGGGCCGTGGCAATAACACATGCACAAACCTATGAGCAGCCCATCATGTTAACCTCGGCCCTACAGGTGCTTGTCCTGAGCAGAGGAAGCTGCTTCCAATTTCTGGCTCCGCTCAACCAGTCTGTGCTGGCCTGTCCGACCTCCAGGACAATTTCTCCCACCTCTGCTACTTGACTCTTCTCAAAAATCAACAGGGATCGGGTCTGCAACCTCCAGTAGACACAGCCACACGTCCCTCCCTGCCTAAGCCCTCTGTCTTCTCCTCTTCAGCTGGAGCATCCGTGCCTCCTCCCGGGAGAAAGTCATGGGGAGAACCTACCTTGGCCCACATGATGCCAGGGAGTGATGTCCGGCGCCTTCGAAGCCCAGCCTGGAGAGGGCTGAGCTTCTTCCTTTTATACACGTTCAAGGAAGAGTGATGGGCGGTGAGTCACAACGGCCTTTCAACATCCCCAATTTTCCCTGCTCTACAGGGCGCCATTGGCCGCTGCTGCCCCGGATTGCAACAGGCTCTGTGTTAACAGCAAGCCACGTTCTGAGTCAAACAGGATGATTCGGGCTTCCACAAAAAGGCTTGTGAGTGACGCAGTGGGTTAGCACCACTTATCCCCGGGCGTTTGTGTGTTGTGAAAGGACGCAGCTGGAGGGGAATCCCCAAACCTCTTTCACAACTGAGGCTACCTGGCTAAGGACACAACGGATATTTACAGGGATTCTCACAGCAGAAGACACACTGCTACTCTATGATTTGTCGGCCTGACACTGGTAGAAAGCCTGCTACTGTAGACAGTCCTTGACATATGACCACAATTCAGCCCAATGTTTCTGTTGCTAAGCGAGATGGTTATGAAGTGACCTTTTACCCCCTTGCTTGCCACCGCCGTAAAGTGAATCTCTACGGTGGTTCAGTTAGTAACACGGTTGTTGTCAGGCCCCTGTTGGAGTCTGAATCCAAGGAGGAAGACGAACAGCTGACAGGGACAGTGGTGGGATTCAATTTTTTTTTACTACCGGTTCTGCGGGTGAGGCTTGGTGGGCATGGCAGGGGAAAGATACTGTAAAATCTCCAACATTGGTATTTGCTGGTTCTCTGGACTACTCAAAACTTCCGCAACTGGTTCTCCAGAACTGGTCAGAACCTGCTGAATAACCACCTCTGGAGTGGGAGTGTGGCTCCGTTGGCTGAGGAGGAAACTGGGGAAGGGCAAAGTCCAGCTGGGCAGAGCAGGTAAGCGGTAGAACAAGGGAAATGGAGTTCAGAGGAAGACCCAGGCCCACCCCGTCTTCATCCTAGGGCACGCAGGGAGGAAAGGAGAAGAGAGCAATGTGGGTTGCGTGACTTATGGGGGAGGAAAGGGCCCTGATTCCCTTCATTAGCCACAGCTGGGAAGGGAGTTTAAAAGAGATGCAAGCTGAGTGTCGCATCTGCTAGGAACAAACGTTGAGTTTATCTTATGTTGACTTTGGTTATCTGTGTTCCTGGCATCCAAAGGCTGTTCCTGGGAGAGTTTTTCTCCAGCCCAGAAGGTAACCAGGATATTGGGGGCAAAGTTGGAGCTAATAAAGGGACTCCTACTGATTATCTGACCGTGTTGCCTTTGTGCCATGCCCCTTTGGGTCATCACAATTGTTAAATGAATCTGGCTTTGCCATCAGCTTTGTTGGTCAGAAGGTCGCAAAAGTGGGATCACGTGATGTAGGGAAACTGCAACCGTCATAAATGTGAGTCAGTGGCCAAGCATCTGAATTTTGATTGCGTGACTGTGGGGAGGCTGCAGTGGTTGTAAGAGTGAAAAATGGTCCTAAGTCTCTTGTAGCTTCAAAGAACTGTTGTAAGTTGAGGACTACTTGTATATTTTTGTCTGCCTGACCTTAGTAAATGGTAGAAGGAATGTCTCTCGGTCCATCCACAAATGATGAATCCACAAATGATGCGGCCCAACTTAAGACATATGATTGGGCCTTCTGCTCATTTGTTTTAAACCTTCATGCAAGTCTCAATTTTGTTCCTGTCACATCTGGCGGGCGACTACGATTTGGGCAGGGAGTCCAATGTCTGAAAGACAGTTTAACAGAGAAACCAATCCGAAGGATTGTGAGATGTTTAGCCTACAACAAGAGTGTCAAACTCAATTTCATTGAGGGCCACATCAGGGTTGTGTTTGACCTTGGGAGGCTCTGGGGACCTTGGCCAGGGGGCATGGTCAGCTCGACATCATTCATGTCAGGAGCACCTGTGGCGGTTCGAGCACTCTGCCTACAAAACCGGGCACCCAAGCTCTGTTTTCGGCTGTGACGACTTCCTGCAACCTTCTCCAAGAGAAAATGGAGCTCAGGACGGCTGCGAGCTCCATTTTCACTGGCAGAGGCACCCCAGGCCAGTCCTTCACTAATTCCAGGGTGGCCCCATGGACCAGATCTAAGCACTTCACTGGCCAAATCTGGCCCACGGGCCTTGAGTTTGACACCCCTGGCCTTGAAGAAGGAAGAGGACAATATTGCCTATTGAAACCCTTCACCACCCTGACCAGGAAGACTGGAATTGTTCCATCCAGTTCAGTTGGGGATGATCTCAGCTGCTAAAGAATCTGACTGGGGGTTCCCAAGGTGTTCTGAACAAGACCAGCAACTGCACCAATGAAAAAAAAAAGTGAAGTTTACTCATTAAATCTTGGTTTTCTCTCTGTGTCCTTCATCGTAGTGTTGTAGGAGACAAGGTAGCTGAGCCCAAAGGTGGCGTCAAATGCATCATCAGCCTGGACTCTCTACATCTCATAATAAGACCTAATTCAGCCTCCCCTTGAAGTCTGTTGACTTTTATGTGGCACCAATTTGCCTCGATCATTAATACTCTGGATCAGATCTGCCACCTCAATCCCGCTTTCTTCATGCTTCAGAGCCAGCCTGCCATGAGGGATGGGGAGGGGAGGGGGAAGGGAAGCCATTTGGGAGGGGGTAAAGGTGTACCTCAAAAGTACTTTGTATCATCCGGAGACAAAATTTCAAGGATACCCAGCCAGAGAGATGAATGCAGCTGTCACCTCGTAAAGCATCCCTGGCCTGCTATCGAGTTGTCATGGGAAGGAGGGGGGGAGAGTGGGGGCAGCAGCACATGAGCCACAGCCAGAGGCACATTCCACGCATACCTTTCTCAAGACTGGATCCCAGTGGCGTGATCTCTAAAGCAGGGGTGGGATCTGACTGGCATTAACAACTGTTTCAGGGAGCATGCACATGTGCGTCAAATGCGTGCTGCATGTGCGTGCACGCTACCGGCTCCAGCAACCATTTACCATCTCCAGCTGACGAGTGGCATTCAGCTGTGCCGCGCAAAGCAGCCGAGGAGGAAAACACAGCCACTAAAGGACAGCCTAGAGCCTAAAGTGATCAGGCAGGCCAAACAGCAGACCAAAACTTCATCCCAGCGAATCGGTTCGGTGTCAGCTGCTCTTCGGAGCTACTGGTTCTATAGAACCAGACCGGTAGGATCCCACCCCTGCTCTAGAGCCTGTGAAGGTGCTCTGTTGGAGAATGTGATTTATGACACACCCTGGGGGGAGAGGGAAAACAGGGTCAGAGTTCAGCCTTAAATTATGTGGGGCAGAACTGACTTCACCTGGGTACGTGCTGGAATGTTTGTGCTCCTAATAAATAACTGTATCTCTTTTGAAAATGGGCTCAAGGCTTATAGTTTAATTAGGGCATCCGTTGGAACCCTGACAGCAGCAGCATTCCAAGGACAGCAGTTCCAAAAACATCTGGTTTGAATATGGTTAGACTTATGGGGATCCTTGGGAGTGCAGGCCTGGGAAACAGGGAGGTTTAATTAGGGAATTGGCGTGGGAACCTTAGGTCTGGCTTGGCTTGGCTTTGCTGTACTTCACTTGACTCTTGTAAAACTATACCTCACTCCAAAAATGCACTCATGGATTATTCTTGCCTAGGATTCAAATCAGGGCAGGAGCGACACTCTGATTCTTGGGTATTGGCACCATGAAATAAACTTGCAGTACTTTTGAACTCTATCCTGTTTGTCGACTTCTTCCATTTGACAAGTGTTACCTCTTGGCTAGGTTTTGTGCAAATCCAGGAAGCAGGTGAATTCAGAAATTTACTTTCTGTCAATTATGGTAGTGGAAGCATTGTTGTCTCAAATCTCCCTTGCTCCCATCTCATTAATCAAACCGAGCCGAGCCGAGCCGAGCCGAGCCGAGCCGAGCCAAACCAAACCAAACCAAACCAAACCAAACCAAACCAAACCAAACCAAATCAAACCAATCCTTATTATGGTCATGAACCAGCACAATTCATTCTTCAGTGTGGAAAACAGAGTTCACCATTTGTACAATTCAAGTTCAGAGAATTTCTCCTTCTCCTCACGATCTCCACTAAGAACTATACAGGTCCCGCCTCAAACTCCTCGGTTCCTCTCATTTCCCGCAACCCATTCTATTTCTTCTCTTTCCTTCCAGACTGCCTTCTCAGCAAGGCTGCATTTCTCCTGCAAACACCAAGGTTTCCTGTAAGTTTGAATTTGTGAAACTCCATTGAACATGAGAGGATGACTTTCTTCACTCCAGTGTATCCGTTTCACTTTCAGGTTGCATAATGTTATGTCATCCCAACTTCTCCTTTTATGCCCTCCAAAATAAATGGTTCACACGCCAGAGAGAAAGGCCATTGCAAGGTAGGAATATCATCATTTCGTCCATAGAAGCAAAACCTGAAAACTACCCTGGGGGCATCTTGGAGCGCAGGGAAAATTAAATCTGTCATTACCTTCATTTCTTCCCCATCTATTTGCCAGGAATTAGACATCTAGGATCCAGATTAAGCCACATTTTAAACATAACTCCTGAGAGATAAGAAGTTTTCTTTCTAAGCATAAAGAAATTCTGGATTCACTCATTGTAGAGGGACATGTCGATTTTCTGAGCAGCGAGACTTTCACAGTTCAAGGATAAAAATTTTGTGAATATCTCTTATTTTCACATACAAATTAATCAGAAGGGGAGGTGGCTACAAACTCTCCTCACAGGTTGGGTTGCAAATCTACTGGAGTCAAAAATGTAAGGTCAGATGACAACCTGGCCTCACCTTGGATGTTACCATTCCCTAAAAATGTTATCCCTCTAGCCAGCACGGAGGAGGAGGAGCGGGGAGGAGGAGGAAAAAGGGAAGGAGTGGGAGGAGAAGGGGACTGGAGACTAAAACATATGATGAACGGTAGCAGGAACTGGCTAGTCTAGTGAAGAGAAGGACCAGAGGAAACATGATAGCAGCCTTCCAATATTTGAGGGGCTGCCACAGAGAGGAGGAAGGGGTCAAGCTGTTTTCTAAAGCACCTGAAGGCCAGACAAGGAATAATGGATGGAAACTGAACATGGAGAGAGATTCAACCTGGAAATAAGGAGAAACTTTCTGACAGCGAGAACAATCAACCCATGGAACAGCTTGCCCGCGGAAGTT